AGTGACCAGGTCCCAGATTCCAGACAGCTCAACTTTAAAAGCCAGGAAATAGGCAAACACCATGAGCAGAAAGCAGAAACAGACAATGAACACAGATGCTCATTATGGGAACAAGGGGAATACGAACTGGTCTCGAGCCCAAAAAGCCTTCTTGGACGAAGGATTTAAAAAGTAGAAGAAAAACTGGGAAAGGAAATGAAGGTATGAAATAGAGAATCAATTGCCTGGAAAAAGGACAAAAATTGACTGTAGAAAGCAAGTCCTCAAAATATACAATTGGCCAAATGAAGAAAGTATGCTGAAGAAACCAACTCCTTAAAAAGTAAAATGGGCCAAATGGAAAAGGTGGTACAAAATCTAATAGAAGGCAACAATTAATTAAAAATCAGAATTGGGCAAGTGGAAGCTAATGAGATAAGAAGAAATCAGTCAAATAGAAACAAAAGAATGAAAAAATAGAAGACAATGTAAAATACCTGACTGGTAAAACAACTGACCTGGAAAACAGATCCTAGACACAATTTTAAAAATTACTGGTCTACCTGAAAAGCATGATGAAGGAAAAAGCCTGGACAGCAACTTTCAGGAAATCAAAGGCAAACTGTTTACATCCCTACAAGCTAAGATGATACTTTTACCTCCTGAGAACTAAGAGCAGCATACATAGACACAGGGTGCGGGTTTAAGTTGACTTCGATGAGACCGATAAAAAAAAATCTAATTAAGTGATGAAAAAGGATTGTTCTGGGAGAAGAGGAAAGGAGGAGGCAGACAAGGTTAAATCACATCACATGAAAAGACAAAAACAGTAGAGAGAAAGAAGAGAGAGAGATGAGCATTGGTTTAGTATTACTCACCAGATTTGGCTCAAATACAGAATAACACAATCAGTTAGCTACAGAAATCTAACTTACCCTATAGGAAGTAGGAGGGGAAAGGAGAAAGAAAAGGAAGGGGGCCTGATAGAAGGGAGGGCAGACTGAGAGACAGTGTAGTAGAATGCAAAACTAGTGAGGAGGGAAAGGGAGAAAGGAGAGAGAAAAGCATGAACAGGGGAAATAGGATGGAGAGAAAGACAGATAGTAATAATCACAGTGAATGTGAATTGGATGACCTCTCCCATAAAATGGAAGGGGTAACAGAGTGCATCAGGAACCATAATTCTACAATGCTATTTAAAATCTGGAAAGACTGATACAAACTGACACTAACTGAAATAAGCAGAACCAGGAAAACACTGTACACAGTAACAGCTACATTGTGCAAGGACTGAGTTTGATAGATTTAGCTCTTCTCAGCAACGCAAAGATCTTACACAACTCCAAAAGACTCATGATGGAAAATGCTATCCACATCCAGAGAAAGAACTTTGTGGAGTCTGAATGCAGATGGAAACATACTATTTGCTCCCCTTTTCTTTTGTTGTTTTGTTTCTTCTTTCTGAGGGTTCCTAAGTCTTCTTTACATCATGACTAATGTGAAAATGTTTAATATGAACGTATAAGTAGAGTTTATATGAGATTGCATGCTGTCTTGGGGAAGGGGAGGAAGGAGGAGTAGAGAAAGAAAAGTAGAAACTAAAAATTTTATGGAAGTGAATGTTGAAAACTAAAAATAAATTATTAATATGTTCTTAATCTCAAGCACTGTTTACATTTATGTTCAAATTTAATTTCATATTTCAAACAGCATTTTGTTCAGAAAAAGGGTATCGTTTAAGACTAGCAATGTTTTCATGGCAGAAAACTCAAAAAAAACCGTACAAAAATTTAAAATTATATTTTAACAATGAGTAAACAATTCATTACTGACATAGAAGGCTTTCCCAAACATGGTACCAATGACTTGTTAACAAAGAGGAAAAACAAAAATGCATGCAAAACTAAAATAAAAAATGAGGAAAAGATAACTGTGTGCAACTGAAATAGAACCTACTTAAAAACTTCCCATCACTAAAAATGGGAACTGGATAGAAAGAAAAGGACAAGGAAATAAATTGCCATAAGGAAACCAAATAAGCCCCAAAATTGCCTTTATTAACAAGTACTTGACTTACTTGACAAGAAATAAAGCTACAGAAATCCAGAGCAATGCCAGCACAAAACAATCTATTTTGTAAAATCCTACAGAGGGAGAGTGGAACATCATGAGTAGTATCACCACAAGAGAGAATGAGAAGCAGGTAAACCATTTCCATTTAAACAAAGCTCAGAGATCAAAGTGGAAGGACAACAAGCAAAAATAAACAAAAAAGATACTAATATTTTTACAACAAACTTTTAAAATATGAAATACAATGAAATACATTTGAAATCAATGATCTCAGTCCAGATATGATCCTACAGATGAGGAAATTGCACAGAACAAAATAAAGGCAGCTGGATTAAATTGCACATGAAGGAAGCCAGTGATGGTAATACAGGATCATTTCTTTTTTTTTTTTTTTTTAAAGGCAATTGGGGTTAAGTGACTTGCCCATGGTCACACAGCTAGTAAGTGTCAAGTGTTTGGTCTAATGCTGGATTTGAACTCACGTCCTCCTGACTTCAGGGCTAGTGCTCTATCCACTGCGTCACCTCATTGCACCTCACTACAAAATTTTTATGAGAATAATACACATATTTGTCAAGGATATCTCTGATAAGAGCTCTAGGACACCACACCAAGTCAAAGCAGTACATTTTTACCATCATGAAACTGAGTAAAACTTGCTGAAAATAAAAGATCAGGAAACTGAGAGGATGCCCATCAACTGGGAAACAGATGAACAAGTTGTGATAAATGAATATAATGGAATACTACTGTGCTATAAGAAATGATGAAGGGACAGCTAGGTGGCTTAGTGGATAGAGTCCCGGTCTTGGAGTCAGTAGTACCTGAGTTCAAATCCAGCCTCAGACACATAACACTCACTTGCTGCGTGACTCTGGGCAAGTCCTGTAACCTGATTGATTGCCTCACCCAAAAACAGAAAACAAAGCAAAACAAAGCAAAACAAACAAACAAAAAAAACCAAAAAAACAAGAAATGATGAACAGGCAGACTTCAGAAAAAGACTTGTATGGTCTGATGCAGTGAACTGAGCAGAACCAGGAGAACACTGTAGACATCTCCAAAGGCCTCATGATGGTAAATAAGACCTTTAGAGTTTGAATGGAGGATTCGAAGCATACTATTTGCAATTTTTTTTCTTTCCTCTTTCTGGTGGTTTCTCCTATTGGTTCTAATTCTTACTTAAAACATCACTAGTATGAAAATATGTTTAATAGGAATGTCTATGTATAGCCTATATATATCTCAGATTCCACACCTTAAGGAGGGAGGGGGAAGAAAAATTTAAAACTCAAAAGCTTATGGAAGTGATTGCTGATAAATCAAAATTAATTAATTTTTTTAAAAAAAGAAAATATTGTTGACTAACTATTAGAAGCATGGTTCAGTGGAGCAAAATCTTTCCCTAGTAATTTCCATGCTTTTGTCAAAAAATATACAAAATTCCTTGAAAGATAAGTGAAAACTTGTTTGACTACCCTCTGATACTACTTATCACCACTACAGAGTCAAAGCTAAGTAGAATTAGCTAGTTAATGTCCTCCAGATGTTTTTGTCTGTGCACAATACTGTACTGATTATAAGGCCCAGGAACATTTTAGATAACTGTTTAATAAAAGGTAAGTGGAGTAGGAGGAAGAGGAGTAGAAGTAGTAAGAGGTAGCACTTACTTAGAACTTTATGGTTGGCAAAGTTCTTTAAATATATCATTTGACCCTCGTAAAAACTATGTAATGTACTATTATTATCATCCTCATTTTACAGAAAAAACTGTAGCAGAGAGGTTCGGCAACTTCATCAAGGGTGACAGAGCTAATAAGAATGCAAAGCAAGACTTTAACTCAGGCCTTCTTGACTCCAAATCCTATTTTCTATCCATTCACCCAACTAACTGCCTAAAAAGAAATTGGGCCTAACTACTCACACTGGAAACACTAGGGAATAAACAATGTCAATTTTCCTGGGATAGGCAGATAGAAAGACACTGGAAACATTATCACATGCAGTTAGACAACTTATCAGTATACCATCTCGAACAAATCAAAAGGTCAAGATGGGACTAGAACTGAACAAGGAGGAAAGCAGGCTGCCTTGCCTTCAAACAACTACAGTTTGGCTTTGAATGAAACCAAACACCTCCCTAAAACAGAAGACCATCTTTTTAATAGTAATATTGTATGGGTGAGAGTCATGGAATACTTTACTGAAGAACTGACTGCATAAATACCCATGGAGAGGCACAGGGTCACATGAATGAGCTATAATACCTTAAATACAAGGAATTACAAAGGAGAAGTTGTAGAAAGGATGTCAAAGAAATCTATGATTCAAAAAGATGCTTGGCCATATGGCCAAAAACAAGAAATGAAATATAATCCATGTGCTCCACTGATATATTCACTATGACAAGACAGACTGAGGGGGGGCAAAAAAACATCCAGTGGATACCCTTCAGCAAATTTATGCGAATATACAGACAAGAGTTCCATTAGATAGGTAATTTGCATTTGTGCAGCAAGTACTCACACCACTAAGATCAATAAACAAACATTCAAGAAAGAAAGCATGGTATAACAAGAATGAACACTGGAACTGTGAGACCTAAATTCTGCCATCGGGGCAAAAGTCACAATCTCACTAGATCTTAAGCTCCTCAGATTTTTCTCCTTACATTAAGTTGAGTCTATGAAGAAAGTAAACCTAGTTTTTAAACTGCAGCAATTATTCACTAACAATGAAACTGTTTATTAATAAACAATACACAGGCAGCTAGGTGGCACAGGATATGGCACTGGCCCTGGAGTCAGGAGGAATTGAGTTCAAATCTTCACACTGACACTTAATAGCTGTGCAAGACTTGGCAAGGCACTTAACCCAGATTGCCTCACACACCCAAGCCCCCACTCCTGCAAAAAAAAAAAAAAAAAGATGTTGCAAAAGCTGTTTACCTTGAAAGGTTTGTCTCCACTATGTGTCAGCATATGTCTTTGTAACCAACTTTGACTGGTTGAAGGAGTGTTGTATACTTTACAACCTTTCCATAGGCAAACAAATACCTGTCAAAAACAAAAGTTTCATTAATTCTCCTGTAAAAATTTCAATAGGCATTCTTTCGATTTCATTTTTCAGTACAAAAGCAATTTATTTTCCAAAACTACTTAAAAAATCATTTGATATAAAAATTTTCAGAGACCAAATTTTTCAATAATAGCCAACAATTACTACAGCATTAAGCAAAGTAGTTTTACTTTCAGTATTTGTAGTAATTAGAAGACACTATTTAGATGGCTATGTTTATTTGCTTTTTTTTTTCAAAATGTACTCATCTTGAAAAAAATAAGAAATCAACAGCTAATAAAGTCAAAAAGAGGCTGTTAACAAATTATACATTCATACGTACTCCCCACAAAATGTAAATAATTAACAACTGGCAACTATTAAATTGATTAGCTTTTATAAGTCAATTCTCTCTAGATATAAATTAGCATGTGACTTACTGCATATAAAACCAGCAGAATATTAATAATCATTTCAAAAAAAATTGTAAAATAAAGTAACATTTTCTAAGGAGAAATGTTCAAACTGAAAAAAAAGATACGATCCCATTTCAACAGCAAGTGTTACAAATAAATTTAATCATTTCAAGCAGATGGAATAAACAAATATTTTCTTGTTTTCAAAGATGTCTGAATGCTCTATGAGAAGCTGGTAACTGATTAAATGTAGGGCTTTTTTTGATAAAACTATAAAATATTACGAGCATAAAGAAAATCTATTCTTAGCAGTCTTTCAATAAAAATTATTCTCAATAATCTAGCAAAAATTGAAACTTTAAATCGGTAAAATTCTTTTCTTTACAGTACAATGTTGAAAATACTGATTTGCAAAAGTCATTAACATGGACAATTTTTATTTTTTGGCTATTAAATATATTTACATTCTTGGGTATAAGCAACATGGGTATGACTGGGTTTTTAATTACTCAACATTCTGTAATAGACAAGAGCCTCACCATCCCGTTTCTATCTTACAGTCAGTGAGACAAAAATCACTATTCGTGAAACTTAAAAATCAAAGAATGCTCTTCAACGTCAGCAATGAAAGTGTGATTCCATTACACATTACTACTTTCAAAGGATAATTTATAAGTACTGTTAGAGCCACACTTCAAAACACAAACTTCTACATCCATCTGTATATAACAGAATACAGGTAAAAAAAAGGGAACAAAAGAAAATTTCAAATGAAGCTAGATAATAATGCCTAACGAGCAAACTTTCAAAAATAATTATTTTTGCTCAAAACATTTTACTTGGAGAGAACTAAGAAATAACTTATGATCAACTTAAGGGAAGACTGAATAGTAATCCTGTTCAACAAATATACTGGGTCATAAAGGACAAGTAGATAAACTGCCTTCCATGGGTTATGCCCAATTCACTTGTGTTTTCTGGGGTTTCTAGAAGAAAAGTTTAATAGTTAAATCAGTTTAAATCTAAATAAATATAAAGTACCACTAACAGAAGTAACCAATTGGTTCTCATGAAACAAAAATGGTAACTATATTTTTTTCATATATATGAGAGGTGCATATACACATTTAAAATCAGGTCAGGAAAACAACCAATTGTTATGCTTTAACTAGTTTTTATTGTATTATGCAATAAACAATTGTATTGTTATGTATAGTAATATATTATAATACAAATGTATTACTGGTTGTAGTAATTTTGAAACCATGTAATAACGACAGCTACAACAACAAGAGTTCTGCTCTGATTGTGAAGTTCTTGGCGTTACTTAACAAAACAGCAAAAAGTTGAGTCCATTCTAAACAAAAGGAGACATTCTCTTACCCAATTTTTGGGAAACAACTCACTAGAAGAACACATGGAGAAAAAAAGAGAACTCACTGCATCTTTTGTCAAGTGTAAAATTTGAAGGAACCTACTGACAATGCAGTAAGTAGCAATGAGAAACCTTCAATTCTATCCACTACAGTCTTTTATGGTGAAACTGAACATGTCAAACATTTTCAAACTGACTTCTGGCTTATAAAATCAATTTTAAAATAACTCCAAATGACATGCTATTCTACAGTACAACTGTACTGTAGGAAAAAAATCAACTTGGCTTAGCTACATACAGATGAAAATACTCTCTTGATTCCTGGTCAATATTATGGCTACAAACAGTAATCTGTTTGTCCTTTCCTTCTACAAAAAACTTAGAATAACTATGGGTAACAGTTCCTATCTAGAATCTTCCCCCATAAAAAAAAAGGTAAGTTCTAAAAACACTTATAAAACCCTAATTCAAAATCTTTTTTTCTTATGCTAAAGATTTCATATTAAAATAAACAGGCTGGTCTTCACAACCAAGCTGATGTTATAGAATGGATGTTTTCTCAATGTAAAGCTAATGTATATGAATTTAGTAGTACTTAATTCTGATAACAAAAACTTCCCTGAAAATATAATCAGCATTTTGCCTCTAAAATTGTATGTAGTATTCAAAAATATTTTTAAATGAGTTTGACCTACGATCTTAATAGACTATTAAAATACAGCTAGCATTTTCCATCATGAAATCTTTTGGAATTTTCTTAGATCAAAAGACTGATGATGGAAAATGCTATTGAGTCTGAATGCAGATCAAAGTACACTATTTCCTTTTTTGCTGTTTTTTTTTCTTGTGTTTTTTCCCTTTTGTTCCAATTCTTCTTTCCCAACATGACTAATATGATTGTACATGTATAGCCTATTTCAAATTACATGAAGTCTTGGGGAGGGGGGAGGAAAGGGAGGAGAAAAATTTGTAACTCAAAATCTTATAAAAGTAAATTTAGTTTCCTCCTGCTTTCCTTTCCCCTCAGGAGGACCAGGCCCTGGCTCAACCCAGAACCCAAGAGGATGTTGGTACTCCAAGGAACTGTAAGTGACATTTCCTGCCCACCACTAGGCATGATGATAAAACAAAGCCTATCAAAAGATTATTATTTTTCCATGGCAAGATGAAGGATTATAGTTTAAAAATGTGTGGTTACATACCACTATAAACACACAAATAAATCTTAAGAGGATCTATGAAAAAAACAGTCAATGTAGCACAGTGATCAACAAATCTTTGTTAATTGCTTAATATACACACAGACACCCAGACACCCAGACACCCACGCACCAGGCACTGTGATATGCACTGGAAATACAAAGTTTAAAAAGAAAAAAAGAAAGAAAGAAAAACAGTACCTGCTCAAGAAGGGTACATTCTAAAGGGGAAGACAACAGGTAAATAAATAACTTGGTAACAGAAAAGATACATACAGAGTAGATGGAAATTCAAGGGGGAAAATACTAGTAGGTGAATGATGAGAGAGGTAGGTGATGGGCAAATGCATTTCAGGCATGGGAGATAACCAGTTAAAAAGGTCCAAAAACAGGAGATGAGGTACAGTATTAAAGGAACAGTCTGTTATAGCAGCTGGATTTTAGAATACATGAACAATTAATGTAGTAAGACAAGAAAGGTTGGAAAAGGCCAGATTGTAAAGAGACTTTGCTGTATTTGCTGCTGGAGATATTAATAGAAAGCCACCGGTAGCTAGTAGTTAAGTAGCAAGGTAACACTGGCAGGTGAATGTGGTAAGCCTTGAGGAGTCATTCAGTAAAAAGACTACTACTGTAAGAATACAAGCAAAAGATAGTTAAGTGCTAGTAAGTGCTAGGAGTGCAACCACATAAGTAGAGAAGGGAAGATATGCAAGATGCTGTGAAAACACAACCAACCAACTTTGACAATGGACTGTATGTGTGGGATGAAAAAGGAATTGAATGTGACACCATGACTGGGGTGATGATGCTATCTTCAACAGTAATAAAAATGAGAAAACATGATACAGTTTGGGGGAAGAAAGAGACGTTGTTTTACATATGCTAGGTTTGACATACCCACAGGACAGCCAGTTCAAAGAAGCTCTAGAGTCTGAGTCTTTACTCTAGCACATACAAGCCTTGTGACCACATGCAAGTCATAACTTCTCACTGTCCCCAGACAATTCTAAAAGGGTAAGTGACTAAGGACATGAAAAGTTAAGACTTGCTCATAATCCCTACAGCTATTAAATGAGTTTTAGCAATTGGAAAAAAAAAACTTACTCCTGACAGTCTAATTTTATGAATGCAGACATGACAAGCTAAATGTTAGTAAGACGTTATATCGCATAAATCCAATAACAGAATAATGAGGCAGTGACACTGAAAAGAACACTCGATTTGGAATTAGAGACCCCTGGGGAGTCATAACTTTGACATTTTACTAGCTAAATGACCTTAGGTAATACACTTAAAAAATTAAGCACCATATTTATGTGACATGAAACTTTGTTTTTAATCCTTCTAAGGAATACTGACACAAAAATATTAGTTCTTTTAAAGAATGTTTTGTACTGGGAGTCTCTTCAGACTATGTCATCTAGAAATCTGTTATCTCAAAATTTAAGGGAGGGCTTTCCCTTCTTTGGAAAATTCCAGAAAACCTTACTTTTTTTTTCCTTTAAGCATAGATTTGTTCCTTAGTAGTACCTTACCTTGAAGGATCTTCTCCAGAATACACAAGATGAAGAAGGCTGGTACAAAAACAAGAAAAGGGGGGAGGGGGGAGGGGGGGGGAGGGGCGCGCCATGGCACAGTCTTAATCTGCTTCAATTTGGCCAATTTTCTAAAACAAGTGTACCAACCAGTGTATTTATTTGAAAGTGTGCATAATTTACATAAGGCCTGTGTGACAGTACAAAAAGATGCACCCCTCCTTCATTAACCCTGCACACTGTAAGTATGTATGTGACATTGCTATGTAAGATTTTTAACATAACCAGTGAAAAGAATTTAATGCAACCTAACAGAGAATCTAGCTGCACACCAGGAAATTGAATTAAAACTTCTAAAGCAGTAAAATTTATCCATCTACGTTAATGCAAATAAAATACACTTCAGCACAATTTATACATGTGGAAAAAACATAATAATCCATTATTGCAGAAATTTCCTCACTACACAGCTAGATATCCATCCATTACGTTGTATTAACCTGCACTTTTTGCAGTTAAAATTATGCAAAAATATATTGGGAAAGTAAAATTCCCCCTAAAGTAAAGGGTTGAACTAGACTCCATTCTAAAAACTGTCTGATAGAAATAGTAACAGCCTATTCCTTTGCAAGGTACAAGTGAGAAAACTGACAATTTTTAAGTATTCTCATTTTTAGTTCAAAAGTATAGAGAAAAGTACAACTTTAATAGTATATTCCACATTGTTACACAGAACATATCATGAACACTGGGAAATTTCCTGCTTTAATAATAACCCAGCTACAATGTAAAATTTGTTGAAGTCTAACTACCCCAAATTAATATTAATTTTTAAAGCTATGGAAGTATAACCTAAGGCCTTGGAGGCTACTTCCTCAAGATGATTATATATCCAAACCCACCATGACTATTTCTCAAAGATTTTAAAAAAGACAGAATTCCTATCTCAACATGGGGTGGTTGGCCTGCTTCAAGTCTTCAAACACCATGTTACAGAAAAGAAAACATAAGAAAACCAACCAAGGAAGAGAGTTCAGAAAAAATAAGTGAGAAAAGAAGCTTGAGAAAAAAGAAGGAACAAGAAAAGAAGCTTAAGAGAAACAAAACATCAGAAGAAAGAGCCCTAAGGATAACTTTAAACAATCAAGTCCCAAAAGAAGAGTAAAGAACTAATGCTCCGCAAGAGTGAAAACCTGCTTGTACAGCATGAACAATTCAGGAGTATGTAAGTGGACAGAAGGTACTTTAAAATCAGCCAAAACTTTTACTACAGTATTTGAAACACAGAAGCATGGACCCAAGAATTCAGTTGTTATAATCGTATTTAGCCGTGGTTAATAGGTTTCCCTATATAGGTACCGTGAACAATTAAAATATCTTTGCTACAAGAGTTAATGAACTAAGGTTCATTTGTAATTTGAGATACTTCCCCCCACCCCCAAACCAGAAGTTGTCAACTGAGATTAACTAATCACAGGGTATTCTGATAGATCTCTCAATGAGCTACTCTTCTACATCCAGACAATGGCTTTGGTATGGGACAGTACAAACATGAACTGAGAAAGTAAAGGCTTGACTGGAAGAAATTTAAATGAAAATATACACATCTCACTGTAAAAGGAAAGTAAAAAGAAACAAAACTAAATTCCTTGTGTAGCTATAATGGTTAAGTTGAAAAAGAACTGAAAAAAAATGCAATTACATCCCATATTTGCAGGGTTGGGTTATTATGATGGAACACTATATATACTATCAGATTGTGTTGGCCAGTTTCAGTTACTTCTACACAGTGAACCTGGTCCTTTTTTTAAATGGGAACACAGAGAAGTTAAGACCATATTTTAGAAAAGATGATATAAAAGCAAAAGAATAAAAAAATTACTTAGTGTAAAATTTTACAACAATCACTTAGGATTTTTGGGAGTGGTTGTACTTTTCATTTACACTGTTGTAGTCATTGTGCTGTTTTCTTGGGTCAGTCCTAATTCATTCTGCCTCACTAAACATAAATCTTTTCCCTGCTTGTCTGTATTCATCATATTTATCATGTCTTACAACACATATCTATGTGTCACAATTTGCTTAGCTGTTTCTTAACTGATGGGCTTCTACTTTGCTTCTGATTCTTTGCTACCACAAAAAGAACTGCTATATATATTCTGATGTATATAGGGACTTTCTTCTTATCAGTGATCTCCTTTTTATACAGTAGTGAAATCTCTGGGTCAAAAGGTATGACATTTTAACTTATTTGCATAAAAAACAATACACAGAATGAATGTTACAAAATTGTAACCAATCATAACCCCAAAGAAATTATGAGAAGACACCCTTATCCCACAGCTTTTCAAGTACAGGTCAATGGGTATTGGTATACTACACAGGTTTTCATATTTTTCTCAACCAACTGACGAGCTTTGCTCTTTTCTTCCTTTTTCTTAAAAAAATTTGGTATGTTGATATGACTTTCTTAGGGGAAGTAAGAAGGGAAGTTGGGAAAAAATTTGGTGGTGATAATTTTATCAAATGTTGAAAAAAAAATTGTAGAACTTGGGTAAAAAAATAAGAGATACAGATAGGTGGCATAGTGGAGAGAGCACTAGGTCTACAGCCAGAAGGACTTAAGTTCAAATCCAGCCTCAAAACACTAGTTGTGTGACCCTGGGCAACTTACTTACTCTATTTGCTTTTGTTTCCTCATCTGTAAAATGCGGAAAATAGAATCTACCTCCCAGGGCTGTTGAGAGGATTAAATGGTACAATATTTGTAAAGAGTGCTTAGCACAGTATCATATAATGCTAGAACATGAATACATTGGGGTACAATAATGTTCTTGAATTCTAGTGTAGGGATAAGTATGTCAACAATTAGAGTCAATGATCCTTTTGATTTAAGATATTCTTCATTTAGCTTTGTTCATTTATTCCAGCCCATAAGCAGGAGAGTACCTCATGTTACTGAAAACAGAAGTCTAGCATGAGACATTGTTGTCGGATGACAAAATGAGGCTCTCTGCTAAATATCTTCTAACATTGCATTCTCAGCACTAGCCAGCAAGCATATACAAATTATAAAACTCAGACCGAGTTAACAATATATCTAGCCAACGAGGTTGGTTTTTGCCATTATTATGTGCCAGAGATTCATTAATGGACCTCCTAGAAATACAGACATTGAAAATTTTGAATCCAATTAAAATCTAGTAATGTGTTAGAAGGGCCTATCTTGTCTCTTTTTGTATCCTCAATGTACAGAAAGTGCCTGGAACAGCACTTAATAAATATAATGACTGACTCAATGATCAACACATTTTAAGCCGTTTCCTACAAATCCAAGAATAAAAATTCAAAGTCAATCAAAAGTTTTGGTTCTCTTTAAAAAAAATACTTAAAAAGAAAATATAAATTAAAGCAGTCTTGGAAGTAATCACTAAGCAACATGAGCAACATGACATAGCAAGCCAACCTCATCTAAGCTAGCACTACTGCATCTCAATAGAAATAACTGGCAGATAAAAGAGTAGATAGTAGCAGTAGTGGCAAAAGTGTGGATTATATATAGTAAATTTAGCCTGTTTTTTAAAAGTTAGTGTTTTTATCCACAATATTCTTCTTAGTTCCTTACACTCAGTATTCACCACAACTATTTTGACAGTATTAATCTCCTCAACTCTACCTCTCCTCCCACAACCCCACACAGATCAAAACTGATTTTATGAAAGCAGAACTACACAGCTGGGGTAAGGTCTAAGGAAACCTAGAACAATTCTAATTTTAGCTCCAAGTAAGAGTTGCCATTTAGTACAAATGGCTAACATAGGTACTGCTAGTAACAGGAGTCCCTAACAATCTCGGATTGTTTCTAACTCAAAACATACATGGCTAGAATGTTTATGTTGAAGTTTTAAATTTTGTGGTGGGGATGTCTTTCTTTATAAGAAAACCTTGAAACTAAAAAAACCTTTCTGCTACTAATGGCACCAGGGATTCTTGACAGGCACACACTATTGCACTGTTGCCTGAACTGTGAATAGAAGCAACCATTCCGGATATTAGTGCAGAACTACTCAAGAAAAGCAACTAAATTATTCATATCCTTTGACCCAGCAATACTACTCCCAGGTTTATAAAATATGAAAGTCAAATACCAAATAAATACCAAAATAATCACAGCATTTCTTGCAATAGCTGATAAATGGTCAAACGGATGATGATCATTGACAGAATGACTGAAAAAACTACTATATGAAGATAATGATTATTTGTGTGCAAGTGAAGAGTTCTCTATGAACTGATAGCATTTCTTGCAACAGCTGATAAATGGTCAAATGGATGATTGCAGAATGACTGAAAAAAACTACTATATGAAGATAAAGAGTTAGAAATGATAGAGCAAAATAAGTAGAACCAGATCAATATACATAATGACTGCAAAAATACATTAAAAAAAGATCAGTCAAGCTCTGAGTATCTGAAAACCTAAAGGAGGACTCCAAGGATAGCAAAGAGATGACCAGAAGGAAATGTTTTATATATGGTCAGATGTGATCATTATGCTGGATGTCTTAGTTTGATGGTTGTTCTTTGTCACATGGGAGGTTTTTCTTTCAGAAATCACTGATAGATTTTATTGATGACTTTTGAAACTATCAGTTTATAACTGAATAAGCCTGACAAACAAAAAGTTCAAGATAACATGTAACCCACCAAGCAATAGCAACAAAAAACTATTGTACTCTATTGCACTTAAAATGTTCAGAGAATTCTTCCCTCTTGCTTTTAACCTATTCTGAAGAAGAAACTCGTGGGGGGAAAAAAGATACCAGGTAACATCACAACTAAGTAAACTGGTGTTCATATAATACAAATGCTTTCCCACTTGAAAAGAGAAATGACATGTATAATAAAATAGATTTAAAAATTGTAATATATATAAAACCACAATGTAATTTAAAAGAACAGCTAGGTAGCAATTCTAAATTACAAAATAATTTAAATAGGGCGGCGAGGATGTGAGAGAAGAAAAAAGGAATAAAACCAACCCCTCCTCGCTGACCATCTACATGTATGGAACGAATGTGATCTGCCAGATCTGGACTAGAGTTGAAGCAAGTCTGGCACTGGTCCCAACAACAGTTATAGGCAATGTTTTTGCTTGAAGAAGTAGTGCTTCCTTGTCCGTTCATCATTGCAGGAGTTGAACGCCCACTGGAAATTGTGCTGTCTACATCCATTATAGTACTGCTTATGCTGTAAAAAGAAAGAAAAAATATTTTTAGAAATACGGAGATGCTACAAACAATTAGTTAATATTACAACTTGAATTCTATATCCTAACCATGACATTCTATATAAATTAAAACTACTTAGAAATGACAAATGTGCTAAGCGCTAAGGATAAAGGCAAAAAATACGAGGCAAAAAGACAGTCCCTGCTCTGTAGGAGTTCATACTTTAATGGGAGAGACAATAAATATGTACAAATATAAGATATATACAGGATGAACAGTAAACAATTAAGAGAGGAAGGCACTAGAATTAGGAAGCTTGGAAAAGGCTTTCTGTAGAGCATGGAGTTTTTAAATTGGGACTTAAAGGAATCCAGGGAAGGCAGTAGGAGATGAGAGAGGAGAGCATTCCAGGCATGAGGGATACCCAGAGAATCAAGGAATGGAATTTCTTGTTTGTGGAACACAGATGCTGGTGTCACTGGATCAAAGTATATGGGGCAGATAATATGGTGTAAGATTGGAAAAGTTTATAAAGGATTTTGAATGACAAAGAGGATTTTGTATGTGATTATGGAGGGGACAGGGAGCCACTAACCCTAGCCACAGGATTAGGGTTTTGTAAGGGAAGGCAGAGGGAGAAAGGAAAAACAAATAAGATTATTATGGTCAGATATGGTGATTCTGGAATTCTTGAATGTGGAGTTGGTACATTTGGGTGTATAGCAAGATCAAGGTGGGTGGAACAGTAAAAGTGAAGAGGAATGACCCGTAGGTCTATAATCTACAGCTAACAAGATTTTGAATAGGTGGTAGAGATGAATAGCATGAACCTCAGAGAAGAAGTTACTAAATGACTGAAGTAGGGGGAAAAAGCTAGAAATGGCAACTGAGAGCAGTAAGTTATTATAACTCCCCTGCCTCAATCAACAGGCGGAAGGGAGCACATGAAGTAGTATAGCCCAATCTGGAAAGGGTGGCCAAGGATGCTGTGTCATCTGAATGGAACCAGGTTTCAGTAGTAGCTAGCAGATGAAAAAAAAGAGTAAGAGAAGTAAAGATTTAGGATGAAGGGAAGTTTGGTGCCTATGGAATAGGCACGCTAGAGGGTACAGTGGAAGGGTTGGGTGGTGTTTGTTTGAAACTATGAAATAAGGTTTGAGGGAGATGGGAATAAGGAATTGGATGGAAGGGTAATGGGGTTTAGATGAACTACAGGGTATAGGACACCATTTCTCTTCCCAACTGAGGCTGGATATTGGACTGGAGGCAACAGGAGGCACCAGTTTCAGATGGAAGGAGAAAGGTATAGGTGTAGGTAGTAGAGACTGTTATTTGGAATGGTGACCTATAGAGGTTCCTAATGACTGGAATATTGAGGGTATGACCAAGTGTAAGAATGTTATTGAGTAGAGGGTGCCACTCCTCTTCCCAAAAAAGATTTGGAGGGAAGCAAATGCATCATGAGATGGGAAGAACAACAAGTTCAGATGGTTAGATAGGACACCCTGCTCCACTACTCCTCTTCCTTTCCAAGGTGGGGGCAGGGAAGGGAAGAGATATGGTAGGAAAGAATATAGCAGAACGACATTTTATTCCCACCAACTATCCTCTTCCTCTTTCTTCTAGGGACGGGAACAACAGGAGATGGAAGGCCTGAGATCAAAGGGAGGGTTACTTTGCATCTGAGGTTCCTCACATCCTGGTTGGGAGACCAGACCTGACACTGGATCTGGAGCAGGAGGCAACTTCTGTTGCCTTGTGCTGACACAGAGAGAAGTCAACGCTTTGGGGTAGATGGTAGATATCACAGCCTCACAGCTGGCTGCCTTCCATTATGGGACATACTGTGCCCAAAAGGAAATGGAAAGCATATGGGTCACAGGAATATCTGGACTTTCTCTTCTTCCAGATTTTTAGATGCCTAACTTGGAAGTATTATCCAATAATTAAACCTGTAATGTTTAAATTACATGATCTGTAGCTTATTCAAACCACCCCTCTACCCAAATACTGTACCATCCCAGAGTTACTAATCAATTACATGTTCAGTTACATAAACAAACTGCAGAAGGAATTATTTACAATTTGCCTATGATCTGAAAAATAACTGAGCTATTTATTCCCTCTTTCTCTTACCTCATAAAAATGAATTTTTTTGCCTTTAAAATTCAGACCCATGAAAAGTTGATTCATGTGATTATGGAGATTCATGTTCCACGGAATGACTTCAACTTCTAATTAGTTATGCTTCTAGGTTAGATCAATGCTTCCATATTATAAACAAAAATTAACTGGATGTTTTTTACCACTTGAGTCCTCTCCACCTTCCTCATAGTTCTCTTTAATTACTAAGTACCTATGTCTAGCTTGGTATAGTAGTATAAAAAAAGCTGAACTGCAGAATCAGGAGACTATAGAACAGGCTCTGATGGAGGTACAACTTATGTTTAGTTATTTAACCTCTATAGGCGTCAGTTTTTTCATCTATAAAATGAAGGTACAGAAATAGATCAAAATGACATGGTATGAACCTACACTTCCCCCTTAACTATTACCTACTAAACCAAACACTACATTAGTATCCTAAGAACTTTGCAAAATATAAGCTCCCTAAGGATTTTCTTTGTACCCAGCAATAAGAGATGGTTTTTGTTTTGGCAATCTGCCAAACTGAAATAAATGTAAAACAAACACATCCTACAAAACTATTTGCTTCAAAAACTATTCGTATAAATAATGACAAATAGGGGGCAGCTAGGTGGCGCAGTGGATAGAGCACTGGCCCTGAATTCAGGAGTACCTGAGTTCAAATCCAGCCTCAGACACATAACACTTACTAGCTGTGTGACCTTGGGCAAGCCACTTAACCCCACTGCCTGGCCAAAAAAAAAAAAAAAGGAAAAATAAATAATGATAAATAGTTTCCTTAAATTTCAAGGAATAATTTCATTCAATCAGCTACATACCAGGTACTGTACTAGACAAAGAATCAAAGAAAAAAAATGCAAACAGTCCCTGCTCTCAGAGAGCTTACATTCTGCTAGAAGGAAAACAGATTCTAGGTGAACACAGGCAATTAAATACAAAATATTTTAAAAGTAAACTTGGGGGCAAAGAGAAACTACCAACTAGAACAGGAGTGGGCTCCAGTAGAGTTTCTGCCACTAGCCTCATCTGACCCAGTCATGGGCCATGTCAATGGAACAGTATACAATAATCATCTCAGGAAAGGAAGCCTCTTTCAGGTCTCTGCCACCATAACATAGCAGTATGAAGGAAAGTTCAGGTAGTCTTGAGGAAGAACAGTAAAAGGTATGTTGGATTCCTTCCCAAGTGAAAGCTAACCATTCCCTACTAGTTTCTGCCTCAGAAATAGAAGAGAAAAAAAGCATTGGCAAAGTTAATAGACTCACACTAGTTACTCTAGCAGGGGTGGGGAACTCGAGGCCTTGAGTCAACATGTAATTTTAAATCCTTTTATTAAGGGGATTTGTTCTGTGAACTTATTCAGTCTAAACTTGAGGTCCCAGAGGGCCACATGTGGCCTCAAGGCCACAGGTTACCCACCCCTGAACTAGAAAAATCAGAAAAGGACTGGTGCTGAAGGTAACATCTGAGTTGACTCCTGAAGGATAGATTCCAAAAGTCAAAGATGAGAAAAAGAATATTCTAGGCATTGGGGGAGGAGAGGAGAATCAATCAGCCTAAATAAAGGCTGATTGCAAAGCTGTGAACTGGGGAACAACAAGTAGGCTGGTTTGGACAGAACAAGAACAGAAAGGCAAAGAGGAAAGAATGTGTAATCATCCAGGAAAAATAGGCTGAGAGTCAGACTATAAAGGTACAGAAAGGTCAAAACACAGAGTCAACAGAAAGCCACCTAAGCTTCTTACCAAAGGAATGACATGGACAAACCTGAATTTCAGGAATAAAAATCTGGCAACAGTGAAGGCTAGCGGAAGCCAAGGACTGGAAGAATAATTAGGAGGATATTAAAATAGTCTAAACAAGAGGTGAGTGGTTGTGGTATGATTAACTGAGAAAAAGGATGGATGTGAGAGACACTGCTAAGACTTGACAACACTTGGCAATTGCTTAGACGAGGGGTGAGAATGAAGAGACTGACTCAAAGTTTATAAACATGGGTGACCAAAGGAATGGTAGTACCATTCCTGATAAAATAAAGGGCAGTTAGGAGGAAGGGGTAGTTTAACTATTCCAAACATGTTTAATTTGAGATATGTAGGAGATACCTAAGTGACAATGTCCAGAAGTACTTGGAAACTCCGGAAAGCAAATGAAGATTTTGTATGTGTATTTAAAAGTCATGTGCATAACATGAGTAGTATGGAAATGTTTTGTGTGACTTCACCAGCATAACTTGTCGTCTCAATGGGTGGGAGAGGGGCTAAAGGGAGAAAATTTGGAACTGAAATTTTTTAAAAGAATGCTAAAAATAACTAATAGGTAAACGAATTTTTAATCAGTAAAAAAGGATAGCTGAACCACCAAAGCTGATGATGACAGAGACAAAGTAGATCCTAAATAAAATCCTGGGGCATAAAGGGGAGAGCAAATCACTTTTTGTAATAGTAAAGAATTGGAAAACAAAGCAGACAGAAGTTAATTGACTGAGGAATGGCTAAACAAACTGTGGTATAAGAATGGAGTATTACCATGCTGTAAGAAAGTATATGTGAATACAAAGAAACATGGAAACATCTCCATGAATAGTGAAATAAGTAGAACCAAGAAAACATACACAATGTCAACAACATAAGCAGAAAGAATGATTCACAAATAATCAAAAGGGAAAGTAACAAAAGTATACATCAAGCATGACTTGATTGAATTGGACATTCCCAATCCACCCTTTTGTAGAGGTGGAAAGTCCTCGACTGTTATGTTACTGGACTTTTTCAAGGTATTGAACAGATGTGCTATTTTTCCCCCTTCTCGCTTTTGTCTTTAAAAAATTTAATTTAATAAATTTTAATTCAAAAATTTTAACTTTTTTAA